TTTAAGCCAGTTTCAGTTGAATTTGCTTTTAATTATGAATGAAAAATTTATAATTGATCCTAAATATTATATCCACTCTTGAGCTTTGCATAAGAATCCAGGAAAGCAATTGTCAATTTAAGATTGGGATTATTTATTTAGTATCTCATCACTGAGTTTATAGATGTCTTGGTGTTGTAGATACTTTCGYATTTATGTTTTAATTGATTGGTTAATGCAACAACTATTTATTGTTAATAGCAAGCATTCAGTATCTGTAAGACACTGTGCATATTGCAGTGATAAATCCTTCAGTACCCAGAGACCTCAAAGGACTAGTTGAGGAGGCAGTCAAAGGTACCAAGGACGCATATAGAAGTTATAATGGGAAATCAAAAGTTAAAAAAAAAAAAGAAGGAAAAAGGAGGGAATACCTAATTTAGAATTTTGGATTATTGGATAGAAGAAAAGGAGGGAAGGGCAGAAAGACCTCTAAGAAGGGCTTCCAACTTTTGGTTTTGTGCCATGGACCTCTTTGGTGGTGTGGTGAACTCTAGCGATCTATTTACAGAATAGTATTTCTGAATGCATAATCTTGGGATTACCAAGGAAATTTAGTGTATTGAAATTGCTATCAAGTATTAAGCTTTTGATTCAATATATTCACATCTTTATTATTTCATTAAAAAAGAAGATCTAACAGGGTAATAACATAATTTTAGGAATTAATAAGTATAAGTGATATTTTGATATTCCAAGTATAATGGAGTATGAAGATTTAGGTGGTTTCTTTTGGTTACAAAGTCACAGATATTGCTAATGCTTATACTGTTGAGGTTTGTGGCCTATGTTCAAAATAAAAGGACATGCTAAATTTTATTTAGTAGTTTAGTTCAATGTAAATTCTTGGGCCTGACTTCTATGTTGGGTAAAAACACAAAACAAAAACCCTCGAGAGAAAAAGAGAAAATTTGAACTAATTTTTGACAGACTGAAGGAGTTATCTAGTTGTGTAAAATGGAACTGAATTCTGGACATATAGTATAACATGTAGAAGTATGGAGACGTGAGAGGTTAAGGAAGTTAGAAGATTACTTTGGTTGATTGAAGAGTGAATTTGAAAGTGTAGTAGGAGGTGAAACTAGAAAGTTTGACAAAACCTATGGAATATGGGTACAAGAAGGGTTGATTGCACATTATGGTGATTAAATGTGATACTGTCTTTACTGTGTTTGAAAATCTTTATAAATTCTCTATTTACTTAGTATAGATAGCTGAAGTTTCCTACATTGCTCTTTGTGATCTTACCCCAACTTTCCTTTCTATTCTCATTTACCACTGTTTTTGCTGTCATCTAATTTGCTCCAATGATTCTCAAATATCATGCTACATTTATACATTCCATTCTCTTTAACTATACTCATTAGCTGAGTGATCCCTTCTTGTACCTTATTTTCCTACTCTGTAATATAGGGTTAGTGGGTAACTCATAGCAAGGATTAGATCAAATAGGTTATTTGGGTTTTTTTTGCCTTGCCCAATTCATACATATTGTTTAAAACCCAATTCAGACATTGCTGCCTTCAGAAAGATTTCTTGATCATCTGATTTATATTGCTTCCAGATAGAATTAATAACTATTCCATATCCTATTGGGGATTTTTGGGGGAGGGATTTCTGGGGATTGAACTCAGGGGTACTTGACCACTGAGGCACATCCCCAGCCCTATTTTGTATTTTATTTAGAGACAGGGTCTCCCTGAGTTGCCTAGCACCTTGATTTTGCTGAGGCTGGATTTGAACTCATGATCTTCCTGTCTCAGTCTTCCAAACTGCTGGGTTTATAGGCATGGACCACTGTACCCAGTTTCTATTGGGATCTCATATAATCTCAATAATATATTTTTCATAATGTAATTTTATACTTCTATGTCACTTTTTCACTGTTATATAATGAGCCCTTAAATGTAAGAGCTGAACATTTTTTATGTCTAAAGTGTTTGGTTTTACTGGATGGATAGTTAGGAGTTTTCACATTCAGCCAGGGATGGCAGCCATTAATAAAGTACTTTTAAATTCTGAATCCAGTGGTAAGATGCTTCACAGATAAATGGTAGAATATTCTGTTTTTTGTTTATAATAGTAGGTTTTGATAACAAGAGGTAGCACTGTTTGTATGCAGATCCTTTAAGTGTTTGTATTTTCAAGTTTTTTTTTTTCCTATATTGGTTCCTCTTAATTTTTCACTATACACTCTCTCCCTCAGGGAACTCAGCCACCCTGGGGCATCAACTACTGTATAATGATAACTCCTGTATTTGGTCTGAACTCAGTTCTCTATCTCCTAAGATTCATTGCTGAATTTCCAAGATGTCTACCATCTAATTTCCTTTGGATAAGCAATAAGAATTTTTGACTCAGTATGCCAAGATTGAAAAAAAATTTTTTTAACTCTTAAAACTTCTGCAGCCTCATTCTTATTATTTTGTTTCATGCACTCATCCTCTCTCACCTGAATTATTGAACACTATTTTTTTTTTTGGGGGGGGGTTACTGGGATTAAACTCAGGGGCACTCAACCACTGAGCCATATAACCTGCCCTGTTTTGTATTTTATTTAGAGACAGGGTCTCACTGAGTTGCTTAGGGCCTCACCAAATTGCTGAGGCTGTCTTTGAACTTGAGATCCTCCTGCCTCAGCCTTCCAAGTCACTGGGATTACTGGCATGAGCCACCACACTCAGCAACTGCACACTTCTTTTAAAAATTAATTTATTTTTCCTATTAATATAAAGGAATACTTTTCCTTTGTACAAAGGAATTCAATCCAGGGAATATGATTTAGCAGTCCCATCTCCAGGAGATAACCATTGTTTACTACATGTGATATATAATATATAATATTCTACCAAACTTCTGCATGCATATATATATATTTTTTAAAGTAATGAGTTTTTTTTTTGAGAGAGAGAGAGAGAGAGAGAGGGAGAATTTTAATATTTATTTTTTAGTTATCGGTGGACACAACATCTTTGTTTGTATGTGGTGCTTAGGATCGAACCCCGGGCCGCACACATGCCAGGCGAGCGTGCTACCGCTTGAGCCATATCCCCAGCCCCTGCATGCATATATTAACACTTATTATTACTACTGTTTGGTTCATGCATAGCTTGTTAGTTTCCTTGTCTTTAGTGTAGCCCCTTGCAATTTTTTTGGGGGGGTGCTGGGGATTGAACCCATGGCCTTGTGCATGTGAGGCAAGTGCTTTACCAACTGAGCTATATCCCCAGCTTGCAATCTGTTCTTTATATATACTTTTCTTAAGTATGAGTGACTTTTCTAAAAACAAATCTCCTCTTGCTCTTTCTCTGTTTAAAATTTCTAAAAGACTATCCATTTTTTTTTAAAGGATAAAATCTAATTTTTTTTTTTTTTGTACCAGGAATTGAACCCAAGGGCATTTAAACACTAAGCCACTGAGCCCTTTTTATTTTTTAATTTTGAGACAGGATCTGGCAAGGTTGCTTACAGTCTTGCTAAATTGCTGAGGCTGGCTTGAACTTGTGATCCTCCTACCTCAGGGTCCTGGGCCTATTGGATTACAAGTATGAGAGCCACTATGCTCAGCTTAAAATCTAAACTTTCAAGGCAACATACAAAGGCCTACATGGTGTAGCCTTTCTTATCTCTTTAGTCCTAAAATTGTGCCACATTCTAGCATTGAGGTATTGAGCAAGTTTTTTTCCAAGAGAAGATGATCATGCTTATCACAAGGACATAACAGTATATAAATGTCAAGTGTATTGCCTGGCTTAGAGTTAAAAATAAATATTGGCTATTGTGAAAGCACTAAATATTATTGTATGTATATTATCAGTCTCTTGCTCTCTAAGGAGACTCCTTTGAGGTCTGAATGGGTAATATTTGAACGAAAGTGGCTCCCCCACAACATACACACCAAAAAAAAAAAAAAAAAGTGTGTGGGAGAGACAGAAAGAAARGGAGAAAGACTGATTTGAAAATATTTGGAAGCAGAAACAGACTAAAGGTGAAAACCTGAGTTACAGGGAAGGATGAAGAGAGACCCACAAGTTTTTGCAACCCTCTCCCCTTCGGAATGAACTCATGTCCTCAGGCATACTAGCAAAGCACTGCTGTACTACTGAGCCACATTCAGCCCTGTTTGTTTTCCCAGAGAAGGAGAAGATAGGGGTAGGAATAAAGAAAGAAGAGATTTGAGCGACACAGCTGTCAAAATGTAAATAGGACTTTGGAAAGAGAAATGGGTAAAGATCTTTAGAATGTTTCTGTAAACCCCACCCTCCACCAGTTTGGGTGACTTTGTCAAAGATTTATGGTTGTTAGATTTACCTTTCTTTAGAATTTGACAATATTGAGATTGGACATGAACTAATCCTATGATATTCTACTTGCACAATTATTTGACATTTATGAGCATCCACTACAGTAACTCCGGTATTTGCCCCAAATTAATTCATCTAACAAATATTTGAGAGGCCTCTCCTTAAGGTCAGTCCTTAAGTTCATCTAAGATGACTTTTGTGACATCCCAATACTAAAATCTGCCCTCTCCTTTTTGGTGTAACCCAGTTCCCCACATCTGCTTCATTCGTTGCACTATTAAACATTATATTTAAYTGTCTTTCCTCCTCTAAGTGCTTTTTGTAGTTTCGAGAGGCGTTTTATAAATCTATTAGCTCGGCGCATGGCATCATGTAGGTGCTTAGTACTTGTTTATTGAATGGATGTCCTGTGGCATCTCAGTGACATCACATCCTGTGTGCAATGGCGTCATTCTGCACTCTGAGGGAGGCTCAGAGGTCTGAGGGTTTAATCATTGTGTATAACGTGCAGCAAACACCTCCAATGCTGGCTAAGGTTTCAGACCGCCCACAAGAAGCGTGGCCAGTAGGACGGCTAAGTTTGTGTCTTCCAGCTCCAGACTCCAGCTGAGGGCGGAGGCACGCTGCGGGCGAGAGAGACTGGGTCTCCGGAGGTGCGAGAGAGAGAAAGAGAGAGAGCGGGGGCCGCACACTTATCGCGGTGTTTCCTCCCTTTCGTTCCCGGGGGAGTTCTCGCGAGACAAGCAAAGGGAAGATGGCGGTGCCCTGGTTTTTGGTGTGAGGCAGTGGCGGAGGCTGCGGTGGCTGCTGCAGCTGCGGCGGCGGGGACTGGAATCCTGGTGTCGTGGGCACCAGAGTTGTGGCTCCCTTTAGCGAGCTTGCGTGCGTCTCTTGGTGCCTAGGCGAGAGCCGGMTTTTCTTCCAGGAGATGCGTTTGCCCCGGGCTCGAAGGTGCTCTGGGAGTTCATGCTGCGCTGGACGCTCCTGGCCGCCGCTCTAATCACCTCGTGCCGCCGCAGCGCCCGCTCCGTCGCCCGCGGTGAGCCTGCCGGATCTACTCCCTGCCCCTGGCGGCGGTGATGACCGGGGAGAAGATCCGTTCATTGCGGAGGGACCACAAGCCCAGCAAAGAAGAGGGGGACCTGCTGGAGCCCGGAGATGAGGAAGCGGCAGCTGCTCTCGGCGGCACCTTTACCGGAGGCAGGATTGGCACTGGCAGCAGCGGCAAGGGCGGCAAAGCCTGTCATAAGATCTTCAGTAACCATCACCACCGGCTGCAGTTGAAGGCAGCTCCGGCTTCCTCCAATCCCCCTGGTGCCCCGGTCCTGCCGCTGCACAATTCCGTGACTACCACTTCTCAGTCCCCGGCTCTCCTAGCCGGCACCAATCCTATTGCAGTCGTCGCGGATGGAAGCAACTGCCCCGCACACTATCCGGTGCACGAGTGCGTCTTCAAGGGGGATGTGAGGAGACTCTCCTCTCTCATCCGAACACACAATATCGGGCAGAAAGATAATCACGGTGAGAAGTGCTAGCCCCTCTCCACCTTTCCTTCCGCGTTGGGTGTGTACCCCCAGGTCTCTGGAATTCTAGGCTCCCTGCCAGCCGACCCTTCTTTCCCGTACCTATAGTGCAGGGGCCAAATACCTGTAAATCATGTCGGATTCATGATTTAGCATACTAGTGGTAGGGAGGTTGGTTCCTGTGGGTGCAAAAAGAATGTTTCCTTGCCCACTTTGGAGTTTACCCTGAGAAGTTGTTTTGTATATCTTTGAGACAGGCATAAACTGATCCTTAGGTTTCTCCTTATCTAACCTGGCCTCCTTTCTTTGTTTATGAAATTATGTATTATTTTTTTTTTTTTTGCTTTCTGTCCTTCCCATCCCAACGTTTAATTTATTTATTTATTTATTTATTTTTTTAGTTGTTGATGGACCTTTATTTTACTTGCTTATTTAGATGTGGTGCTGGGAATCGAACTCAATGCCTCACACGTATGAGGCAAGCACTCTACCCCTGAGCTACAACTCCAGCCCCCCTCCCCGCAAGGTTTAATTTTAGACATATAAATTGCCCACCTTTTTTCATACTCAGATTCAGATCCCAACTTGACTGCATCTGGTTGTGATTTTGTAATTTCAACTGTCATTGGGCAGTCTGGTGTTTTCTTTTTTAGTTTGCTCTCAAGAAACTTAGGACGATTTTTTCTGAACGTCACACATTAGAAATTTGTTGCCTTTTTTCCCCCTAGAACAATTAAAGTGATTTCTCAGTAGTTTTTTATTGTCAGTTTTATGTATATAATTGCTATTAGCAACGTCTCATTTGACTGTGACTGGGAATAATATTCATAGTAATTTCATCATAGCCTATATGAGAAAGTAATTGTGTGTGTGTGTGTGTGTGTGTGTGTGTGTGTGTGTGTGTGTATGTTTTTTTTTTTTTTCCGAGGGGAGGGAGTGGTTTCCGGGGATTGAACTCAGGGCCACTCGACCATTGAGCCACATCTCCAGCTCCATTTTGTGTTTTATTTAGAGACAGGGTCTCACTAAATTGCTTAGCACCTTGCTTTTACTGAGACTGGGTTTGAACTCGTGATCCTCCTGCCTCAGCCTCTGGAGCCTTTGGGATTACAGGCGGGTGCCACTGTGCCGGCAGGAATAGTATATTTGTTATTGAGGAACTGTCTTTTGCCTTATTTTGTCAGATGAAATTTTTTGTTTCTCTAAAGAGTAACGTGATTGGATTGATATTTGAGCATCAATAAATTTGTTTATTTTCTTGGTACAGGATTTGAACCCAGGGCCTTGTGCATCAGCAAAAGCAAATTTGTTAATSAAAACTAATGTGAATGCTGATACTGTTTTAATTTTTAATAAATGTCATTTTAAATTGAGTGGTTAGTAAATATTGTTGACAGTTCTGCGTTTAACATGACAATTATTGTATACATTTTGTTAGAATACACTCAGCTCTGTGCTAAAAATGACACAAAATTACATTAATGAATTATCTGCCTGTGAAATAAGCTCCCTTAATTCCACTGGATTCTGGGCTCCTTACTTAAAATTAAGACAAAAATTCAAATTAAAAAAGGAAATAAGTTTCCTACTGATTTTACAGCTCTCTAACAACATTTGTTTTTGGAACTTGCATTGTAATTGTTGTAATTTCACTATCTATCATTTATGAGAAGTCAGATCTCCCCCAAAAGTACCTTAAAGCTACCCTAGTTTTTAATTTCTACATTTTATTTATTTTATCATGTTAGTACTATAATAAGCATAATGTTTGCTGGAAAGAATTATATTCTAACATTTTGGGAAAGAGTTGTACTTTTAATTTATTAGTCATTCATTAGGAAGTTTTTCAGATTTGGGCCACTGCCTTTAAAATTTTACTATCTTGAAATATCTCTTAAAGCAGATTAGAGGTTCCTATTGAGTTAACTCCATTTACAAGAAGACATGGATTATGAATATTAGAAGGTTCTGAATTTACCTAATTGCTAGGTATTTGGGCTTTCGTATTGTTTAATCCAACATTTAGGAGTACATTTGTTAAAGCTCAAATTCCATTCAAAGTAATTAGTATTCTGTGTATCCTTAAACTCTTGTTCTTACTCTACTGAAATTCACTTTTTAAATGAAACTACCTTTATTTTGATATTTCTGATGAATGTAACTAGTTGTTCACGTACTTGTGAAAAGTGTAATTGGGCCTCCTCGCCCATATATGTTTCTTTTAATTCCTGGGAAGAGTAGCTTCTATTTAATGTGCTGCTGCTGCTTTAGTCTTTTTAAATTTTTCTTGTAATTTCATAATTTCCCTGTTATATTATTGCATTATTACTTGTATTCTTGATATTTTACTAATCAGAATTCTTTATTTAGATTTTAAGGGTGTTTTTTCCTTTCAAATTATAAGAGAAAAATGTCTTTTAAATTACCCAATCAAGTTCCATATTATATTTGGATTGCTGTAATATGATAGGTACATTGCAGAAAGATATACTCAGGCAGGTGCATAGCAGAGCCATCCAATTATACCATGTATCATATAGTTTATATTCTCTGAAGATATTCATGATGATGATGATGATGATCACTATTACATATGCAATTTATTGTGTCAGCACCATGCTAAATGTTTACATACAATGTCACATTTAATCCTCACAACAGCCTTGAGAAAGGGAAACTTTTCTCCTCATTTTAAAGGTGAGAAAAATGAAGCCAGAGAGACAAGGAGACTTAATAAAGTCACATACTTAGTATGAATTGCAGTTTCAAATTAAGAATAATTATACTCCTAAGCCCATGATTAGTTTCTTTGTAAATATTTCTCTTGATTGAGATCTACTCTTTTACAAGGAAGTTAATTCTAATAATGTGTACGTTTTGTTTTATAGCAGACAAAGTTCTTTAATATATGTTTTCCCACTTAGCACTTAAAATTAAACTTCACAGATAGGTTTTGCTCTCAGGGTTTTTCTGTAGAACTCAAATCTCTTGTTATTTCTTGTTCACAGAATGGTAAAAGTAAGTGGGCTACTTCATCTATCCACGTGATAGACCCATAGATACTTGACAGGAGCTATCATACATCCCTTCCTTCAGATAAACATTCCTAATTTGTGCATTCATTCCTCATGTGACTTAATCTATAAAGTCTTTAAAATGGTCCCTGAAGCACAGTATATAATATATGTGTKCTAAGTAAAAGAAAGTCTTACTCATTCTCCTTTAGTAAAACTCAAATTTATTAATTCTTCCCTTTCTAGATGGTGCCTGGAAGAAACCTTAGTGCTAGAGCTATAGTGGGCCCCTAACCAAAGGGAACAAGGAGACTATATTTATTGTTCCAAAGCAAGACACACTTATTTATGCAGTTTAAGAGTATGATTTTTATTTTTCTGGTACGGGGGATTGAACTCAGGGGCATTCAATCACTGAGCCACATCCCCAGCCCTATTTTGTATCTTATTTAGAGACAGGGTCTCACTGAGCTGCTGCTTAGCACCTTGCCATTTTTGAAGCTGGTTTTGAACTCAGGATCCTCCTGCCTCAGCTTCCAGAGCTGCTAAGATTATAGGTGTGCGCCGCTGCGCCTGGCTAGAGTATGATAATTTTTTTAAATATATTTTTTTTAGTTGTTGATAGACCTTTATTTATTTTTATGTGGTGCTGAGAATCTAACCCAGTGCCTCACACTGCCAGGCAAGTGTGCTACCGCTGAGCCCCAGCCCCAGCCCTCAAGTATGATAATTTTTAATATTGCTTTTTCTCAAGTGAGCTATTCTTTTTTTGTTGTAATATTGCTTCTTGAATTTATTTTTTTTTTACCTTCAACGCAGGACTTTACATTTATTAAATTATGTGTTGTTAGTTTTAGTCAGTTCCTTTATTAGATAGAGAGCTTGTTGAATTCTATTTTTTAGCCATTTTCAGTTTTACTGACCTCTGATCAGATAAACTTTTTTTGTATGTTGTTTTTTCATCTGTGATAAAGTGTTGGTTGAATAGGAGTTGTATTTTCTGAACCATCAGTTATTTTCAGAAATACTATATTCGGGGCTCAAACATGTGTTTTGAAATATAAGTTAAATACCGTGACTGTAGACCATGTATATATTGTGTTTAGATATGCCAAAAGATTGTGACTTATGATTTATTTGATTTTTTTTGAGGGAGGAGTGGGGAAAAGATACTACATTAAAAATACATAAAATTTAAATGTTGTATCTTTATTATATCTTTAGTTATATGCCACATTTTTCTTTAGTATAAAATTAAAGATTATATCTAAGCCTTTTTTCACATTGAGTGTTAGGATTTTTCTKAGTCACTTTTGCCCTTGGTAGTTTGGCACAGTATTATAGGAACAGGCCGTTTATTTTTATTTTAAACAATAATGATTTTACTTATTTACTACCTTTAAATTGAGAATGATATGAAACATACAGAAGACTCCCTGTTTGTTGAACTTTTAATTTTGATTTTTTCCTCTGAGTTAAATATCCTTGAGAAGTTAAGCGGATTCTGTTGGATTCTAGTCAGAAGCTTGAGAATCATTCAGTTGCCAGTGATGAGAAAGTCCTGGGTATATGAATTGCTCAAATCAGCCTTTCTAAGAAGCAAACCATTTCTGATCTATTTTGAGAGATTTGGCAATTTCACCTGCCTTTAATTACATTATGTGGCATGTAACAAGCCATCTTCTCTAAATAGTTAATTTTCATTTTTACTTAGTTGTAATATCTTGAAGCTATTAAAAAAAACACGATGATTAGGAATTTCAAATTTCACTTGAATTTCTGTTCCTTACTCAGTGAAGTGACAGTGAAATAGTTAAAAACATCTTTGCCTGGCAGCAGGCAGATTTCTTTAGACAGGGATTTGAAAATTTTAATTTCTGAAAGATTAAAAATATGCATTTGAGAATTGAGGAAGAATCTGGTGACCGTGTAAAATGTTTATTTTGATTTATTCTGTATACATTCCTTATCTTCCTTTTGATAT